ACAAGTAGTACTGCCAATAGACGACCAGAAAACTACGAAATTTGTAAGAGTGCTGCTGATCATTCAACGCGATCTGATACCTTAACCTCACACAGATCCTAGAGCTTGTAGACTCTAATGATGACGAGGAAGTTAGCTCAGCACCGGATAATTTTCTGGTAAAGGTTGATGGGGGTACATGGTGAAGCCAGAAAACGCACCTCTTATCAAGAAAATCTTTGCGAGGTATGGGGATATTGTGAAGGAAAGTGCCCTGCAATCTGTTGAATACCGTTCTTCTTTCCTGGAGAGCGTGTGCAGCATATACCAGAGATTGGATACAATGAACATACTGAATATCGCTGCTGGGTGATCTTGAACTCGCAAGGGTGGAGATTCGGTGGCTTCGTTGCAGGGAGGAACAGATTTAAGAAGCTAAGAAGTCGATGATGGAAGCTGGAAGGGAAGAAGAAAAGCAGTGGCTTCACCCAATCTCTACTCTTGCGAGTTCAAGAGATTGAGCATGGATTTGAGCTCCCCAGCCGCAAAAGGAAGGAGAGCAAGATAGAGGGTAAGTACGAGTCAAGCGAAACACTCATTTTCCTTAAAACCAATGTTGCAAAAATCGCTAGGCGCTGCCTGCCCCGCGGACGATTCGGCTGGAATCAGCCTCCTTCGCGGCCGGGCGGCTAGGCGGCGATTAATCGGCTGAACTGGGCGCCTAACCGGCCGGTCGAACCGGCGTTTTTTAGTTTTTTTTTTAGTTTTTTTTTTTTTTTTTTTTTTCAAATCGCATATTTTTTCGAGATCTATACACCGCAAACTGTCAAAAGGCGGTTTGGTCTTCTAATTTCTCCAAAAAATGCTTCTTTTGTTCTTAATTTTAAATTTTATGTATTTAGATGGTTTTAACAATATTCAAAACGATTTTACAACCATTTATGTAAATAATTTGTAAGAAAAAACTAGAGGAACCTTATGTTTTATTAGGAATTTCACAATTTTTAATTTTAATTTTTTTTAAATGAAAAAAAATAGCGCCTAGGTGCCCCCTTGGAGCCTAGGGGGCGCCTAACGTTTTTTGCAACCTTGCTTAAAACCTTATTTGCCACCTCCCAAAAGTGCTAGGAGCGTTGTGGCCTAGGTTTCCCAGATAAAATGTACTACGATTCGACATTTGAGCACCAAAACGAAAGAACCCGTCGAACTAGAGCACGAGCAGAACACAATTGACAAGAAATGAGTAGAAGCAGAGATTTTTGGAGCTAAAACCGTGCAAGTGTGTATGCTTATTGTTCTTGTAAAATTTCTGTTGCTCTATACCTTCTTATATAGGACTGTTGGACTTCAATAACATTAAACAAGGCCATTAATCCTAGCCTTGTAACATCTGAAACATCAAGGCAATTATGTGGGACATAAATTCAAATTTTAAAATTGAAATTAATAGAGATTAATTCCGTAACTATTGAATTTAAACCCACACTGCTGGTCTGTTGGCCTGCTGCCATGGTAGGGTCGAACCCTTGTTGTGTCAGTTTCGGCCCCAAGGCTGCACCGAACCCATTACGACCCATTTCGGAAGTAGACCCCACTTATAATTGTACCACAAAATAGCCACTTAAAATGTAATTTTAATGTTATTTTTCCAACAAAAGTATTTTGCATGTTTCGTAGTAGTGTGAAATTGGAATGATTATCAATATTGATGTTTGGTAATGTATAATCTTATAATGATAATAAAGATTTTTTTTTTTTGAAAGGAGAATAAAGATTTTAAATATACAAAAATAAAAAAATTAAGACAACTGATCATAATATAAATATATAATAACATCAAAAGTATCGATATGAACAAAACAAAAATCTAAAATCACTAATATAAATTTAAAAATTAGATTTCTTGAAATGATGCCCGTTTTATTTAGGGAATAAAATTTTTAATTAAAGGCAATAAAGGATTAATTAAATTTCATTGTTGTGTTTTAAAAAATTGTCAACCAAACACTAATTATAATTTTGATTTCAATTCTTGATATGTAACTCATAAACCAAACACACCAAAAGTTTATTTACAAAACAGACCTACATCAAATAAGTTTCACAAAAAAAGAAAAAAAAAAAGAGAAAAGAGAGATGTTATATTTGAACATGCCCATTGTGTGGAATAATTACCCTCATGTTTAGTACAAGGGTGCTTTCTCCGATGGTGACTAAACTTTGAAATGGATTCCAAATAGTACCAATTTTTGAAAAGTGGCAAAAGAAGGAATACCCATAAAAAGGATTTCCGTTTGCCTTGTTATGTCATAGTATAAAAAGGATTTAGATTTGTCTTGTTATCCTTCTAATAGTATAAAAAAGGATTTATATTTGCCTTGTTATTATTTAAAAAGTCGATTTTGTGATGATAAGAAAATGATTAGTTCATGAATTATATAATATGATAAGAAAATGATTAGTTAATGAATTATATTGATTGATTAGTAATGATATATTTATTATAATATTATAATCATTTAATAATGATGATGTACTATTTTGAAAAAATTACATATGTAAAAATAATTGATGGTATTGTATACATCAAATTGATCTCAATAACTCAGTCATTAATACATGCTTGAATTATGAATTATTCATCCATGATATTTAATGGGGCCTGCAAGTGAAAGAATTTATGTTAAAATCAAAAATTTACTACAAATTTAACTAAGTTAAATTGCATATATGTATTAGTATCTGTGTGTATCATGTCGTGAACCAGTGCCACACCTGGTTGGCCGGATCACTCTTGTTATAGTAATCATTGTTACATTATTCATTAAACATTATTAAATCAATACAAAATCATTATTCATTAATCATTGTTAAATCAATATACAATCATTATTAATCACAAATATTAATCACGGAAAGAGGCGTATTAAAAGGCGTACAATAACAATAACAAGGCGTACTGAAATCCTTTTTATGGTTAACAATAAAAGGGAATAAGGTTCAAATTAGCCACTGAACGTAACCTGAAAATGCAATTAGGCCACTGAACGAAAAAAAAGTGCAATTAGGCCATTGAACACTCCAAAAATGTGCAATTTCACCTGATAGCAGGTTACCCTCAATTTTAGCAGGTTATCTGCTTACGTGACAGCTGAGTTGGCATTTTTAATAAATTTTAATTAATTTTTAATAAATTTTAATAATAACTTTTTATTAATTTTTTTTAAAAAAATAAAAACGACTTTATTTTATTTTTTATTTAATTTTTTCTAATTTTTTATAAAATTTATTATTAAAATTAATTATTAACAATTATTTAAAAATTATTAAAAATGCCAACTAAGTTGCCACGTAAGCAGGTAACCTGCTAAAATTGATGGTAACCTGCTATCCGGTAAAATTGCATACGTTTGAAGAGTTCAGTGGCCTAATTGCACATTTTTTGAGTGTTCAATGGCCTAATTGTACTTTTTTTTCGTTCAGTGGTCTAATTACATTTTCAGGTTACGTTCAGTGGCCAATTTGAACCTTATTCCACAATAAAAAGGCATACTGAAATCCTTTTTATGGTTAACAATAAAAAGGCATTCAAAAAGCCTTGTTATGCTTTATTCCCTCTTTTGCCTAAATTCAAAATCCTTCCCTATTTGGAATCCAAAATGAAATCTGTTCCTCCTCGGGGTAATGACCGAGCAAAAGGTATCTGATTCTACGAACTGCATTTGACTGAGAGCAGGGAGAAATTTGAAACCCTATTTCTCTTCTTTCTCTTCGTTTATCATTTGCCTCAAACTTGAAAGAAAGAGAGAGAGATTTGGAAGCGGAAGCAAAAATGTCGAAGAGACCTAGGTCAAGAAGAACTCGAGGTGCAGAGTGGACTTGAAGGTGGAGAAGGAATAATGGAGTATTTGGTGAAGAAAGGGGAGACCTTTCAATATGTTCCCGTGGATATTTTAGCCGAACAACCTTCATCATCGTCGGCGCCGGCGCAGCCACCTCCGGTAAAAGCCCCTTTCCTTTCTGTTCTGGCCGGAATTCCTATATATGTGCATATATATCGAGCATTCTGTGTAGGGCTAACGACACCTTAGGCAGTATGTGCCCTAAATCCGAATCTTCTTTTCATATGATGATCGCTGTCATTTTCCTTCAAATTCATAGTTCAATAACTTTCTGTTAACTAACTGTTCATTCATGGTTTATTTTAGGGATTTTCCCCTAGCCATGGATATGTTACTCGCCAGGCAAAGGCATCATTGCCTTCTACCACAAAGCGTGGCCAACGTATTATTCCAGGACCCAAACATATGAATAATGCTGCTGCTCCTCACAATCTTGAGCACCAAATAGAGGTACTATTGCAATTCAAGTTTGTTTTGCCTTTTAAACATCTTGATTTAGTTTTGTTTTTTGATGTTAATTATGGTTGATTGTAATGGGAAGCATTCTTTTTTGATGTTTTATGCAAGCCTGCTGCTTATCATTCAACGCGATCTAGTAACATTAACCTCACACAGATCCTACAGCTTGTAGGCTCTAATGATGACGAGGAAGTTAGCTCAGCACGGGATAATTTTCTGGTAAAGGTTGATAGGGGGTACAGGGTGAAGCCAGAAAACGCACCTCTTATCAAGAAAATCTTTGCGAGGTATGGGGATATTGTGAAGGGAAGTTCCCTGCAATCTGTTGAATGTCGTTCTTCTTTCCTGGAGATCGTGTGCAGTGTATACCAGAGATTGGACACCATGGACATACTGAATATCGCGGCTGTGGAGCTCAAATCCATGCTCGATCTAGTCAGTGATCTTGAGCTCGCAAAGGTGGAAATTGGGTGGCTTCGTTGCAGGGTGGAACAGATTTATGAAGCTAAGAAGTCCGTGATGGAAGCTAGGAGCTTGAAGGCAACGCGGACGAAGGCTCTTGAAGATATGGAAGGGAAGAAGAAGAAAGCAGTGGCAGACACGAAACAGGAGTTGGAGTTTGGCCTCGAGGCATGCCGGGTCTTGCAGAAGAAACTCGAAAAACTTGAAGATGATGTTGGGATTGCAGGGGTGGAGATGGACAAAATCAATGAAAGGTATTCAAATATGAACACCAAAGTGCAACGTTTCTACCACCATCCTTTGGTCAGTGACCTTCTTTGAAATGGTTGTCAATCTCTTTGGTTAATTCAGTAGTGAGTTAATAACCAAAATGGTCCCTCGACTATCATTCAGCAATGAGATACGAGGAAGCAAAAAGAGAACTCATATTGCTCATATGCTTTCTGTAATTATGTTGCATGAGATCGAAGCATCTTGACAATAACTGGAGATCACACAAGTGTAGGTTCAAACCAAAGCTTTAATGATTCAAGCCTCACTAAGTTGACAGTAAGTTTACACTCATATACAAAGCAAAATGACTTGCAGGGTTAAATTAAACACATCATATGTTTAGCAAACAAGACAATGAGCATATGCAATCAATAGAATGTCAGAGCTTTCATATGGAGATCTGGACATAAGAGCTTTCAAGAGCTTCAACACCTTCCGCTCTTTCGCACAGTTAGATGAGAGATGGAGAAAGCTAATGAAATTACATTTTTTCCCCTAATTTTAACCATCAACTAGAGGACTAAATTAGGCAAAGATTACATAATTGAGGACCTAATTGGGTAAGAATGGTAATTGAAGACTAAATTGGTAATTACAACAAAGTCGAGAGACCATTTTGGTTATTAACTCTTTAGTAGTGAAACTTCAACTTCTTAGCTTGTTGTAATGCCTATTTTTTGGGTATACAGATCAAGGTCTTAGATTTGGCTTTTAATGGTGATTTTCAAATGCCATAAAAATGTCTTACATGTTTCCTTAGCTTGCTGGTTGGATATGTAGTATGCCTTGTATGTTTTTCAACCGCTACTCTGTTTTTGTATCTGATACAATCATATATATTATTTGAATTGTATTCAACACGATCAATATTTGTATACATGGAAAAGCTCCCATATCCTTAACTTTTTTGTTTTCGGTTTTATTATTATTATTATTATTATTATTATTATTATTATTATTATTATTATTATTATTATTATTGTTGTTGTTGTTGTTGTTGTTGTTGTTGTTGTTGTTGTTGTTGTTGTTGAATGTGATATGATAGTAGGTCCATTTTTTGGAGTGAGTGAGTATTGTCGGAATGTAGGAAAAATAATAAAAGAATGGTAAATTAATGACGTGGAAGTAGGGCCCGCTTTTGAAAGTGAGACACTGTATGAATAAAGATAGCCTTAGCGCAAATTATGCTGTGCAACCGTGTGCACCATGTATGGTGCACACGGTTGCAAAAACGACGTCGTTTTGACTAAAAACGCGCGTCCCACTTAAAAAAAAAAAATTCATGTTCGATTCCCGACAATAACATTTTTTGTGTGCATAATGTGAATTATATCCACAAATTCATAACTATATATCCACAAATTCATAACTATATATCCACAGTGAATGAATAACACAAAATCCGCAATGAATGAATTAAATATCCACAATGAATGAACTAAATATCCACAATGAATGAACTAAGGGTGTGTTCCGCAATGAATGAATTAAATATCCACAATGAATGAACTAAATATCCACAATGAATGAACTAAGGGTGTGTTCGGAAACCTGGAAAATGAGTTATGGAAATCATTTTTCAAGTTTCCATTGTTTGGATGTGCTTGGAAATCAAGTCAACGGAAATCATTTTCTATTGATTTTGGAAAATAGGCTTGTTTTGGAGGAAAATGACTTCCCCTTTTTTTTGGGGAAGTCATTTTCCAACTTTTACACCAACATCACACCACCACCAACATCATCAACACCATACCACCACCACCTCACTACCACCATCACCACCACTACTGCCGCCACCACGGCCACCACCACTATACCAACGCCACCACATCACCACCATCACACCACCACCAACACCATACCACCGCAACCACTACCACCACCAACACCATCAACACCATACCACCGCAACCATCGTCGCCGCCACCCACGCCACCATACCACCGCCACCACATCACCACCATTACACCACCACCGCCGCCGCCGCCACCACCACCATACCACCGCAACCACCGTCGCCGCCACCACCACTACTACTGCCGCCGCCACCACCACCACCACCATACCACTGCAACCACCGTCGCCGCCATCACCACCACCATCACACCATCACCACCACCATCACACCATCACCACCACCGCCGCCGCTGCCACCACGACCATACCACCGCCGCCACCATCGCCACCACCACCACCATACCACCACCACCACTGCCACCACCACCATACCACCGCCACCACACCACCACCACCACCACTGCCACCACCACCATACCACCGCCACCACACCACCACCACTGCCACCACCGTCACACCACCACCAATTATTATTATTATTATTATTATTATTATTATTATTATTATTATTATTATTATTATTATTATATAACGAATAACACCACTACCACTACACCACCACCACCATAATATTTTTGATATATTATTAGTTATTTTTATTATATTTAAAATTATTATTATATTATTATACATGCTGTAATATTCTAAATAAAATAATTAAAATGTTTAATTATATAATTCTACTCATTTTCCAGAAAATACCAATCACACAAAAACAGTTTTTCATAATGCAACCAAACACGGGAAAGGAAAATGTTTTCCGGAAAATGACTCATTTTCCAGAAAACATTTTCCTGCTTTCCAAACGGACCCTAAATATCCACAATGAGTTAACTAAATATCCACAATGAATGAACTAAATATCCACAATGAATGAACTAAAAATCCACAATTAATGACACCATGCATGGTGCACACGGTTGTACAGCATAACTATCCATAGCCTTAGTTCGTTACTTATGAAAATAGTATATGAGATTAATTGCACTATTTGTTTGACTTAAGAGATGAATTTAAAGTCAATGCCCATTGACTTAGTAGAAAAGATACAATTTTTACTGTAATTCCACTGGATCAAGCTTATTAACCGAACCAACCCTAAGCAATTGTTATATCATAGAACAAGGTTCATATTGCATTGTGGCCCTGGTCTAAAAATTATGTGTTTACCGTTGACTATTCTATACTTTCAGTTAATCGTTTATGTATTTGTGAATAAATTGAAAGCAGATAACATGACAACTATAAACTATTAACTGTTGAAACATAAATTATTGACTGAAGACACGTAATATATTAACATATTAGTGTCTTCAATTACCATGTTACGCGCTTTCAATTTATTTACAAACATTATAAACATATAAATTGTTACGTATGTACTGTTAACGTGAAGATTATTTTGAATCAAGGCTTGTAATGCAAGATAAACTTAGTCAATGGGTTGGGGAGCGACCGAGGAATCCTATGTCACGTATCCCCAAACTCACAAATCTCATTTTTGTCAAACCTAACACCGATACCACAATTGGTAGTTGTAGTTTACTTCCTTGCTACCAACCCAGTTAGTTGAATAGGCATTATTATTCTTTTTAATTATATTTCATATACTAAATACAGTTTTTTTTTTGGGTACAAAGTACAAACTTGGTCACTATATAAGGGTATGTTATATATTGAGTAAATCTCATTTTTATATAATAGTTCGCAATTACATAAAAAAGGTATAAATTACACTAAGATACTTTTATAACTATACGTATAACGCAGATATTCATAGGACGACCTTCCTAGTTACATATGAGTGAAATTTACTTAATGATATCGTCCGATAATAGTGGTGAGTTTGTAATTGTAGAGTACCAAATAAAAAGTGAACCATCTTAATTGGCTTGAGTAGCTGGGCACTTTCATGCATTCCTTAAGAGATGTTGGGAGTTCAAATCATATATCGTATTTGGAAAAATCAATACGACGACCAACATTTTATGTTCCTTAATTGGATCATACCCTGTGCGAACATGGATTAGTCTAAGTACAGTAAGGTGCCTCCTATAGTTAGGGTTTGTTTAGGACACCTCGTGGTCTGAAAAAAAAAAAGTCAAGCAAACAAGGTGTGAGCATGTGATAGCTAGGTTATTATAAGTATGGTAGAATGGATCAGATCAGATCAGATCAGAAACGGTGAAACTATGAGGGGTGGAATGGAAGCGCCATTTCTGCAGCGGATGCATCACGAAAGATTCGTGGAACATGTCAAACAACGACACGAGGATAAGGGCTGCTGCTATGCTTGGTTAACATACATACATTATCTTCAATAATTCTTTATAATTATCCTTTTTGTTGTTTGGTTTTCTCTCTCGAATTGAAGAAGATGAGATAAGATGATGTTTGTGTTGTACTTTGGTGATGCAGTTTGTTCGCACTGTGCTGCTGCTTCTGCTGTTATGAAACCTGCGAGTGCTGTCTGGACATCCTTTGCTGCAGATGTTGTTCCTAGCTGAGCTACATCGACTCATCTTCTCCGGATCCACGTCTTATGTTTTTTCTCAAAATAATTAAATAAATATGTATGTTAAGGTGTTGTATTGGTCGATATGTATGAGTACGTGCTATAATTTTAGTATGTTTTCAATTGGCAGTGAAAAAAGAACTAAACTCACGACCACTGTCTAAGTATGGTGAGTGTTTGTACTAGATAAATGTGATTCCTATGTAGTATCCTACAAACCGGTTTCATATGTTTGATTTGCATGCTCTTTGTGTTGGTTTGTGCTCTAATAAGAAGTGTGCTCTTTAGTTGCATTCATGATATTTAAGTCTAATTTTAGGTAATTAAAATTTGGTACATCAATTAGCTTGGTTGGCGTGAGTGGTCGTACACTTTCATTCCTTAAAGAGATGTTGAGAGTTCAAACTTTCTTAGTATGGAAAAATCAATCTGGCCAGTACTGCTTTGACCCTTAATTGGGCTGATCCTGTGCAAACCTAGACTAATCTGAATATGAGTACGGGTTAAAAATGTCTCCTACAATTAGGACTTCTCAAAATATACCTTGTAATCTAATCGGAAAAAATAAAATTGGTACATCAACGGTAACATTTTCCAAATTTTACTTCCCCATTATCAAATGCATAATTTCTTTTAACTTTTTTTGTTTTGTTTTGTTTTATCGAATTGACTCCGCTTTATAATATCGATCTAAAATGTAATACACTCATTTAAGTTTTAACAAATTTCGTAATTACCCGTTTCTCATGTTTCAACACAGATTTTAATTTATTCTAGATATAGAATCCTTACGCTTAAGGTATAGAATTATGTAACATGAGGTACAGAAACGCATAACACGAGCATACACGTATTTTCTATTTTACTTATTCTCATATCTGATTTATGTAAATAACTTATGTCATATAGCCACATAATTGCATAATACAAGATACAAATTTGTAAAATAAGACACACAATATGGAGACGAATCCATGGCCAGAGACAGAAACCTTCTTCGTCTCTGGCCGGAGACGAAGACAGTTTCTTCGTCTTCGGTGGAATAATTTTTAAAAAATATTTTACATTTGGGATGACTTGTTAGTAACATGAAAAATCTGTAAATTGGACAAATTGCATGAAATTGGTTAGTTTAGGGACTCAATTGTCATTTTTTTTTAGGTTCAGTTGCCTAATTACATTATTTTGTGCAGTTCGATGACCTATTTCACCCTTATTCGTTTGAGAAATAAACATTTAGTATACTAAAAATAAACTTTATGTCAATAGTCCACCTTACAAGGTGGACCATGATCCATGATTTAATGATTGGCAAATTATGCTGTGGACCCGTGTCTACCTTGCAAGGTTGGATACGGTTCCAAAACTGTTC